GATTTGGGGTATTATTAAAATAATCAAATACAATATTTCAAATGGCTGCAGCGAAAAACTAGTTACTTTCAAGTTTTGTATTTACGGAGAAAACTTTTGATCAGTGAATTAAGAACTATAACATACTATAATTTCAATCAATTTTACTCAAGGTCAATATCCATTTGTTTCCTTTATATTGATACATAAAGCATAATAAAGCATTAAAATTATTTTAAAAAATTTCATCATATAGTTTTTTTACTTAAATAGTTATTTTGTAACGTTCTAATAGCTCGAAGTAAATAAAGACTATTATAAATTATAGATAAAATGTATGACGTTCTATATTCTGAAAGTTTTATTTCCTAAAAGGAATCTTTTAGGAAATAAAACTTGCTAATTCAATGTTATATTAGATTTTTGTTAAAGATACTTAATGTTAAATTAATTAAACAAATTCGTAATTGACCTTTGCTTTTTTTAAATCTACTTTGCGTACTCATCTCGCAAGAAAGTCTTATGTTTGTGAATACTTGAATATAATTTTTTTATATTAATTTAGAAATATTTACATTTAAACTTAGACGTATTTGGGGAAAGAGAAAGAGAATAGGTATAAGATAGTATTCCGAAATTTTTATCTTTTAGAACATCTGCATATGTTGATTCAAGAATCTTTGGATCATGCCGATCTTACTGTGCTTACCGCCACTTTAGGCGCAGCAGCACTAATACGTAATTGCTTGTGGTGTTACAATCAGCATGCAAAGGGAACAATTTCTTCTCAATCAAGGTGCTTTATTAGAAGTTGTTATTTGTCCTAGTAGTAGTCCTTTCTGTTTAAACGCTGCAAAATTTTTTTTGCAAAAGCAGCAGAATATCACAGAATTTTAAATAGTTTCTCACAATCAAATGCAAAGCTATTAATGATATATAACACTTCTTTTTCATCTATCACATTTTCTAGAATTTTGCATGTAAATATTAATATATTAATATCACGACGCTATAAATAAATGGCAATAAAATTAAGAATACATAGAATTAAGAATTTTTATTTTAATCTAAAATTATATTATTGCAAAAGTGTACAAATGCAAATGAAAGAAATGTTAATTAATTTTTTAGCTCGTATTTATAATTAACATTATACTTATCATTTAATATGTGATTATATTATATCGTCCTGAACATTTAAGGAATCATAAAGATATCACACTTCCCATTTTATAATCCTGCTGCTTGTGCCTAAAATTTAATTTAGGCACAAACAGCAAGATAAAATTAAATTAAAATTAGCTCTTAATTGTTTTTATTATTTCTTCTTGTATTTAAGATCAATTAATCTGTGTCTCGTTTATAAGTTTCATTATTGCTTTTTCTCTTAATAGCGAAAAGATTAATAAGTCTCATAAAGCATTCCACGAAATGGCCGAAGCTGTAGCAGAAAGGCTGCTTGATCTGCATTGTCGATTAATTTCCTTATATATTCTGAACGAGGCGGACTCCCTCAGTTGGCACAGTAACAAACCATTTTTCGAGAAGGAACGATGCTCCTATGTTATACAAATGTGGTGGCTATATATGCAAGGTAAAGCTAACGCTCGACTCGTTTTTTCTGAATATAATTTCTCTGGACTGATATTTTCCGTGAAATTAGATTTATGATCGCTCCACGATACAACCTTTTGCAAAAACAATATGCTAATATTTCCAGGTACTAAGGCAGATTTATGGAACACAGTCTCGCCTAAGATGGCACAGCGTGTATTTTCAGAGATGCTAAATGAGTCCTTGTCTATCTTAACTACACGATTCGTTCATGTAAGATCGCAAGATATCTCACGGACTAGTTTCCATTTAATTCTCCAATTTATTTCAATCTATTGTCTCATTCAAACAACGTTTTGTTGTCGCCATGAATCACAAATGTAGAAACTTGTTCGAACGAATGTAATATTGCTTTTTTTTGTAGATTTCTATTCCTTTCCTTTGTTTATTTGCATACATTATGTATTTTCTCTGCGATTTATTAAAGCACAATGGATATTTCGCTTGGAGCGCTTGAATATTTCGTCGAGTGGGTAATTGAAAATTGAAAACAAAAATGAAATTGCAAACAGGGACGACCGACACTGGCGCGATCCGAACAGTTCTGGTCGGATGCCTTTAATGTGCTTTGCTGCACAGGCTACCTCGCTTTAGGTGCGTGTGTCGACAGCAACGGAATGATTGGTGCACGTCCGAATAACTTGCCGACAGCAATAAGAGATATACATGCAAAATGTAATGAACTATTAATCTGTTTACTACTTAGAGGTACTCCTCTCAAAGAACTGTACCAGGTATACTCTTATGCTTTTAATAAAGAAAATTATATTATTTTTATGTTCGATCGACTAAATTAATAATTAATAATTCAAAAATGTATCAGCAGGATTGAAAAAATTATTTTTTAACAATAATTCGTTACCGTTATTATTATGGAGTCAAAAAAGTAACTAGTTACCTTTTTTTATATATACTTATACTCGTTATTAGTCACCGATTCTGAAAAGTAACTCGTTATCGTTATCGTTACTTAAAAAGGAACGTAATTCGTTACTTTTTTCGTTACGTTTTAATACTATAACAAGATCAGGTTAAATAAAAAGTAAATTTTTCTTATATCTTTTATTAAACTATCTCTATAAAAAAATAATAAAACTTTTTATTTGAAATTCGCAAGACTACAAAAAATTTAAGAAGATTTTAAAATACTCAAAATGCAAACATAAAAGAAGTGGTTTTCATTAAATTCATAAATACAACAAATGTGCACTTTTTTATGCTCAATTTGCTATTTACAAATTTTTAAAAGTTGGTATTTATAAAATCTATTCTCGTGATTGATTTACGATAAATTATTTTTAAAACTGTTCTCAAGACGAGTCTTAAATACAACAAATTATAAATATCGATTGAAAATTAAACATCGAATATATAAAAACTATGTCATAAATAGATTCAAAATGTAAAAAGCAATAAAAGTAACAATACATTGATATAAGCCGAGCATATGTTAATAACAGCGAGAAACATGGCCAATTTCTCGACAAGCAGGATCTTAGTTGCTAAATCTTTATATGAAATAAATTTAAATAATTATATTACCAACTACGTGCTAGTTTAGCAGACTTTTAACGTAATGGTTCCATAATAATTCGATAATCAAATATTTTTATCGAAGTATTATTATATTATTATATTATTATACTGTTATATTATCGATTTAAATCCCTTTTATTATTCCTTAATAACCTTTTATATAATAAATATATAAATATAATATAATATATAAATATATATAATAATTTATATTATATAATAAAAGTAACTATTTGTTATCGCTACTGAAAAAATATAACTACATTATAGTTATTTAAAAAAAAAGTAACTGTAACGATGTTACAAGTAATACTTTCCAGTCCTATATATTAATCATATTAGAACAATATAAAATTTTGTACGCAGAGATGCAAACATATATATATATATATATTTATTAGTTTAAAAATTGAGTTTATATATTTAATGTAAAAACAAAAAAAACATTCCTATATTTTTAACAATAAATAATTATTATTTAGATTTTTCGACACGGATTAGAAAATTTAACAATATTACGACCTCGACACGGCCCCGCTCCGTGGCTATTGATATGTGCTCCAAATTTATTAGGATTAAGCACGGTTGATTCTCCAGCTGACATTATAACATTAACTGAGGATAAAACAGTCATTCTTGAGTTGAATGTTATGAGACATCAACCTCAACCTAACTGGCCTCAATTGATGAAAGTAATTACTAATGCGATCAACTAACGAAGCTTTACAGCTTTAAACCTACGAAATTTCTCTTTATCCGTAGGTGATATCGATGAACAATTATGTCGTGGCAAGGATGTTGCTACAGACTTTAGTACGTCAAAATGTGGGCGTCGTGTGCATAGACAATAGTGATGTGGCTGACAGATCAAAGAAAGACGAAAAAAGTTGCAGTGGCTTTTTATGCAGTGGATCAGCATGCGACAAAACGCTAAAAATAACTTCGGCTTTGGCATTATACAGCTTATTTCATGTATTAGTGGTAACCGTTAATGAGCCGGAGCATGTAATTATACCAGCGCTGAAGCAGGATCCGAACTGGTCTAATTATTTGAACAGACAACAGGTTGTGTGCTTTTACAAAATGTCCTTTGATAAATTAATTGTATAAATTTATATCAGTTTATTATTATTAAAATATAGTAGTCTAACATATGTAATATATCTGAATGGGTTTATGGGATATAATAATAAAATTGAAGCTTTTATTTTAATTAATTTTTATTTAAATAAAAATAATTTTATAATTATAAGTTACAAATTAAGAATAGGCATTTGAACGCAATAAGCTACAAATGTTTCCAAATGTTTTATTTATATGAAAAAGAAAAGAAATGTTTCTCTAGCTTTATGTACAATATAAATATAATTTAAAAAAATAATTTAAAAAATTTTATTATTTTTTTTACAATGTTATTAATTTTGGTATAAAGATTTTCTTAACATTATTGTAATATGAGATATCACAGTCTCTCTCTACCTTTTTTGTCAAACTAAATACTCTATTTTACTACAGTTTATAAAAGTCTTGCAATAATATAAATATGATAGATAATTTTATTTGTTATTTTAAAGGTCTGGAATCAATCAAGACCACCTTGGCTTAATGCACTTGTAAAACCATTGAAGATCATGATGCAGCCAGTCGTCGAGGTCCTTTTAGAAGCCGCCAAAGTAATTAAGTATTGAGGTAATTTTTTAATCAGTATTTATAAGTAATTTGTACGTACGTACACACACACACACACACACACACACACACACACACACACACACACCAATTGTATATACGCGCGCGCGCGTGTGTGTGGGTGTGTGTGGATGTGGGTGTGAGTGAGTGTGTGTGTGTGTGTGTGTGTGTATTAGATATTAAAATAATTTTAAGGTTACAAGTGCCGTCACAGAAAATAAAATATAAAATAGAGTTTCGAGTTGCAACATTTAGATAAACTCTGGAAAATTATTTTCAGACAGGTGCCAGTATATATCAAGCTATGTCCCTTGCGATCGGCTGCTTCGCCGAGTTGTACGTGACCGCTTCGACTCCGGTTTTACGCACCGCATTCGCGTTAAACGACAACATCCCCGCGCACTGTCAACCGATCGGTGGCCACGTGTTGCTCCAGATGATGTGCGCCGCCCTGTACTCCACTCTTCTGGATGTGTCCACGAGAAACAGAAGCGAGCCTCACAGTACACCGAGTTCCGGGGATACGTGTTGCGAATTGAGCCCTTTCAATCCATACGACAGATCGACCGCCGCCACGGCACTCGCTGAAGCGATTTGCAGCATTGACGAGGATAACAAACACACGTCGCAGATAGACTCCTTCCTGCTTCTCGTAAAGGACAGGTACGTTTCTTCATAATTATATTACGTTTACTTGCAGCTTCACGATAGCTTTTCACGATTTATCGATTTCGATCAATTACAAAAAAAAAAGACTAATTTTTTGTAATTTTACAAATCGCATCATATCATTTATAAAAAATACTACGTGAGAAATATGGAATTTGTAGCTTCTTCTAAGAAGAATATGTTGATCAAAATGATATATCTATTTGTTGTACTATTAAAAATGTGTCAAGTTATACAAAAGCATATACTTTTACCTTAAAAAAAAATACTAAAATGTTAAAAGACAAAGTAAAGATAAAATATATTGTGTACCTCATATTTCATATTTAAATATTATGCACGTATACACATTGTTATGGATTATATTTACAGCTTGAATTTAAATTATATTACAGCGCTAAATACATTACATTATTGCTTATTTAAATAAAATAAATTTGCGCTTGAAATAAATATGAGATAAAAGTTGTCACATGTAATTTCATAGTCTTATCACGAGCTTACACCTATGAAAGTTATCTAGATGAATCTTTCATTATACGTCATATAATCATATAAAGTTTCAATTTTTGCAAACCTAACGTGTAATAAAATTTAAAAAGAAAACTTAAATTAGAATTAAGAAAACATGATTAAATTAATGCAATTGCTCTGCCGAACTTGATAATATTTAAAATCTAATTTAATATTTTAATTTTCATAATCTTATATATTTTATATTTTATATTTCATCTAAGCAAAAAAAGAAAAAGAAAATTTATTACAGTCTTAGAAGAGAGAATCAAAATCCGAGAAATGATGAATTGCAAAATATGGCTTGTGTTATCGAGACTTACACGGATGAATTATTGTTTACGAATATTGGTCGACGTTCCTTAAAAGTGAGTAAAATGATTCTCATTGTTGGGGATGTATATTCGTATATTTGTTATATAGAGAAATCATGAATAAATCATGTTTATAAATGATCTTTGTGTATCGCAGATTGCATACGAATATCTAATTCGAGCGTCCGATTGGGTATTAAATAATTTACGTCGTGGCGAGGAGAGCAGACAGATAGATTTGATTAATCTGCCGAATGTCTCACCTATCGTGAAACCTCTCACACACATAATGTTTCACATCGAGGACACGTGCTTCGATCAAGTTAGTTAATAAAAGTTACATACCTTTTACGTTCATTTTTATCAATATAGATTAACTTTCATCTCGGTTTAATTTAATTCCTTGACTTTTCTAATCCTTAGAACTAAAAGTTAGAATTTTAATGACTAAGAAAAGATAATAATAATAAAAAATAAGTCGTTAAATCAAAATTAAAGTTAATCTACATTGATAGAAATGCACATTAATGATAAATATATCTATAATATGAAACTTTTATGTAACCTGATAAAAAAATCGTGCTTATTATCAACATATGAATTGGGAATAAGATATTATGTTTTAGTTTATGACTAATTATGAGGCAACAAATTGGACAAAGGTGTTGACGATGCCTTTGTCAATTACATTGGAACGAGTACGAAATCAAATTCTCCTAAGACCGGAATTTAAAAACATTGGAGATCTCAGCCATGAAGATAAAGAAGTAGCGCAGTCTATTAAAAGGATCTGTTCATTTGTTAGGTCAGCACGTTTTAAATAAATTGTTTGCACAAGTAATGTTAAATAATATCTCTGTTATAATTTATTTAATAAACTCTATTTTAAGTCTGTAATCAAATATATATATATATATATATCTCCAATAAAATGATGAATTTTCGAAATATTGCACAGGTGTTTCTTCTTATGAAATATTTTTTGGAGTTTATAGCTTTTAAAGGTGAAATATTTTGTAGCCTGCGTTTTTCACATTTTACATAATGCATCCAGAAAACGAACGTGCGCGACAATTTCTTCTAGCGGAGGAGTTTGTACCACTCTCTTAGCATCAAAAGTTTTAAATTTCGATTTTATTAAGGTGTCTAATTTCTAAAAGTTTACGAGCTTTTTAATCTGTCTAGAAGAGAAGAAAATCCTTTTAGCAACGTAAATTAAGCGTTTCGTATTTTTCCCCATTCTTTCCTCATTCTTTCCTCTATTCAGATTACCGCCACGGGCATCGGAACTTTACTGCATCAAAGTTTAACTGCTATTATTTTATTAATATAATTAAGATACTTGCATTACCTTACTGTTTGAATAACTGTGCTTATAAATGATGCATTCACGGAATATATCCGCGAATATATCCATAAAAGGTGTTCTATCGCGGGATTCACGTGTGGGTTCAAGAATCTTATAGAACACATTTGCTGCAGAGGAATAAATGTGACACAGTGTTACATAATAATTTATTTTTAATTTTGCAAATTGACATATCGACATATTTGAGACGCGACCCTCTTTTTGTGGCGAATAACTAATATTGACAAATAGTTTGCACCAAAGTTTGCAATCGATCCCCATTACGCGTAAAATTTTTGACTCATAGTTCTATGTCTCTATATTATAGATAATGCAGATCCTTATAATATTGTTTTATAATACAACAATCATATCATTTGGCACATTTATCGAAAGACTACGCCTATTAATCAATCGATTAGATCAACAGGCCAGCTGTTGCATGATGTCCCAAATCACCAAATAATCTTCTAGATCAAATTTCTTATTCTTTTTCAAGAAATATTTGATGGAAAATTTAAAATTTATAATAAAACTGTCTAGTAGAGATTAATGAAAAGAGGGAAGAGAGAACTCTTGGTGTAATAAAATTTAAAGGCGAATAAACAATCAAATACCGTATCGTTAGTCGGTTTAATTCATATTTAATAAATTGCTAGTTAAGATATGAAATGTTAACAATTAAAAAGAATTATACTTTAATTTTGTCTAGAGAAAATTCATTACTTCTCGATCTGTCGTTGATAAATCATCCGGTAAGTCTGGGACATCTCTCCTCTATATACGTTAGCGCATGGGGCTCAAAGTAGTTTCTCTGTGCCGATACGCGTCATTAAACAAGGAACAATTGCGTTCGTAGCGATCGAAGCGTTTAGATTGTTATCCCACATCAAATGAAGGACTTAGGCCAAGTGTCCTTTTACAGCTCTGTCGTTAATTAACGGAAACGATGACGTGATGGTGAAATGCCGAAATGATAGTTGACGCACACAAATACCGGACGCGATTATACAGAGAAGATCTAGAAAGATGTTTCTTTTAAAATTAAAAACGGTATCTTCCGCGCAAAATCATCATCATGTACAAAGCGAAAGAATCAATTGCCGAAAAATACGAAAATGTTATTCTAGGGAACGCGCCGTTTCCGAATTAATGCGCGCACAAATGAAGCGTGTTATGACAATGAAGAACTCAATCAGGTACTCCTCACGTCGATCAGTCGATCCAGTCCAGTTAAGCAAATTGTGACGAGCAAAAATCGTTTCTTCCCGCTTCGCTTTTTTTTTTCAGAAAATAAAAGACGCGAAAATTCATTTCAGGGATATCCCTCTCCCTCCTCCCCCCCTCCCCCCTCCCCCCTCC